TACCCCCTACCCTTACAACCCTTTACATACCATTACATACCATCCCCTTACCATTGAAATATCAGCTAGACTCACTCTCTCACTCTCAAATCAACCTTTTAGACCCTTATAAACTGGGTTAAACCCTTTTTTCACCTGTTAAGCCACAGTTATCTTTTGATACACTCCACCATCACTTTATTAAACCTTCCAATCTGAGATTGGTGGGCTTGTCTAGTGTCTAGTGATCCAGGAAAGGCAGAGGTATCCTCATTGATCCCTTTCCACACTCAGCAAAAGGTTTTCACAAACACTTTTGAGCTTTACAGCGGTCGTTGTAAGACTCAAAAGTGGTTATGAAACCCTTTTGCTGAATGGAGAAGGGTATGTTGGAGTTGCAAGCTCTGCCCTTCTATACTATCAGAATAACAAGAACACCAAGCTTAGCTTGACAATTTTGTATATAGTCTTAAGGTTCAAATTTGACTCGAAAGAGGACTCAGAAACCAACCAAAAACTAGCTACTTGGAATAATAACTTCAGTCTGATTTAAGGTGATGAGAAAGAGAAAAGGTCAGAGTATGAAAGATAGGGAGAATTTCAACACTTTTGGTTTATGATGATGATGAAAGTGTTAAATCTTTATTTCAATGTATATAATTCCAAAATTGTAATGTGGCTATGACTTGTAGTTCTGAAATAATATATAAGATGGATTTATTTATAAGGGTGGTTGAGATGATCTGGTCCCCTGGTGGGATGATGGTCCCCTGGTGGGATGATGGAGGGAACAACTGGCAGGAAGAGGACTCCTTATATAGACAAATGTAAGGGATTTTGGCCCCAGGGTACAGGCTGTGAGATACTACTACAAAGGGATGCATATGAATGAACAAAGGGACACATATGTATGATCAAAGGGATGCATACATGAAATATCACTAATACAAAGGGATTCAAAACAACATGAAGGTATTCAATTTACTACAAAGGAATTCAGTATGGAATATGCATCCTGTATTCATAATGACTATGGCTAGAGTGTAGAATCCAAAAAATATCCCGTGACAGGTTGAAATACGTGTAACTTCTAAACTATAAGAGATAAGGGTATGGTTGTAGTGAGTGACTAGGCGTTATTTTACCTGAGGGATCCATTTTTCATGTTATTTTTACCATATCTTGAATGAATAAAGAGATAATAAGAAATTTTTATATTTTCTGCGTAGAAACACAGTATTATTTACCACATCATAAATGGTGATGGTGCAATCAGACCAATTAACGGCCTGTCTTACCCAAGAAATGACATTTTCATTAAGTCAGTAAATTCTATGTCAACAAAGAAGACTTTGAAACGACTTGGGAAGACTTCAAGATAGTTTCAAATTTTTTTGCAGAGGATAAACAGAAATTTGAACTAGCTTTATTTGATTGGGAAAAAGCGTACCGACAAATTCCTACAAGAAGGGATCAATGGAGGTATCTCTTGGCTTGTGATTTCAACGGCAACTTGCTAGTTGATACCAGGATCACTTTTGGTGGAGTTGCCGGCTGTGGATCCTTCGGAAGGCCAGCAGATGCGTGCAAATTAATCATGAAACAAGAATTTGAGTTAGCAAACATCTTCCAATGGGTTGACAATAATCTTTTCGTCAGGGAGCTAGGCACCTGCACATCAATGGAGGATATAGTGGTGAAGTCTTCAAGGCTGGGTGTTTTAACGAATAAAAAGAAGTATTCTGAATTCAGTTATTCCCAAAATTTATTGGTTTCATGTGGGATGGTATATCAAAGACAGTGAAACTCCCGGAAGGAAAAATCAAAAAACGTCTAAGCTAGATTTATCCTTTTCAAATACCGAAAGCAGTATTTGATTACAAAGAAGCGGAAGTGCTCGTTGGGCGGCTCAATCACTTTTCTTACATCTTACCACACTTGCGTTGCAACCTTTACTCCTTATACAAATGGTTGAAATCTTGGATATGGAGGAAAGCAAAACAAGCGACGCCAGAAGACGTTTTGGCAGATCTCCAAGTGTGGGTGAAAACCCTGCAAAACTTTGAGCACACAAGGCTCATTAGGTGGGGAAAACGGTGAAACAGATCCGATCCGATCGGATCGATTTTTCGATACCAGGTATTGAAAAATAAGGGATTGGATTGCTATGGGTGATCCGATCCCATGGTATCGGGATCACATTGCAATCCCGATCCGGCACCCAAATGCTGCGGGCTGTATGCCTTACACTTGGGTATCATCCAAACTGTAAGCAATCCAAT